ATCACCACCACCACCACCACTCCTCCCCCACGCCACTGCACATCCACACACAGAAAAGACGACCAAGCAAAGCAAGCAAAGTAAAGAGGACCAAAAAAAAAAAAAAAAAAAAAAAAAAAAAAAAAAGGTTTAATAGCCAAATAACGCATCACGCAGAACGCAGAACCCTATCAAAACCGCAGAAGCAGAAACAGCAAGAAAACCCAAAGCAAAGCCTAGCCTGCCCATCCCGTCCTGTCCTGTCCTTTCCCTTCCTTCCCGTCCCGTCCAGCCAGCCGTCCGTTCGCATCCAGAGTTGTTGTTGTTGTTGTTGCTCGCGTCCCGCATACCCGTCTGCCCATCCGTCCGTGTGTGTGTTTGTATGTGTCTAAGTGTCTGAGTGTGAGAGTGCAAGGCAAGCCCACCCATCCATCCCGTCCACGCACGCCATACCAAAACGCTCGCCGTGCAGTCCTAGTCCCCGTACGCCGCCGCCGTGCAGGAGTATAGAGATATAAAAGCCAAGTTCAGTTATCAGTTTCAGTTTCAGTTTGGATTTGTGTCTGTTTGTTTGTTTGTTTGTTTGTTCGTTGCAACTCGCAAGCACCGCACCGCACCGCACCGCACCGCACCAGTGTGGTACAAAAGTAGGTAGGCAGGTAGGTAGGCAGGCAGGCACGCAGGAAGATAGGAAGGTATCGTAGCATACCAACCCAGCAAGCCGAACCAAGCCAAGGTGAACCAAGCCAAGCCAAGCCAGCATCATCGATGACTAGGGGTGTGGATGAGGGAGTACGAGTAGAAAGACAAAAGCGCCCACAAGCGCAGCCAGCTACGCGTGCATGCATGCGAAAAGAATCAACCACCACCGCCGCACTCGCACTCGCACTCGCACTCTCAAGTCCCGGCCCGCTAGCTAGCTACCCGACAATGAACGGCTAAGAAGACCCGGCGGCGTGTATGTGTAAGTGTGCTTGTGTGTGTGAGGGAGTAAGTAAGTCTAAGGTATCAGAAAGCCCAGCCCAGCCCGGCTCGGCCCGGTGCAGACAAACAAACAACCTATCGAGAAGGAGGAGGTTACGCCGCCGACTGCTGCTGGCGACCGAACGCGTTGCCCGCACTGGACGAAAGAGGCTTAGAACATGGTGCCAAAGTCCTCGTTGACGGTCTGCAAGGGCTTCCTGGCGCTCTCGGCCTTGCCGTTCTCGTCGGCTGGGTTCTTGCGGTGCCTGTTTGTGTCAGCGCTGCGTTGTGGTTGAAAGAAACATGCAATCAACATACCTGAACGTAAAGCCGACAAACAAGCTCTTGCTCATTTTCTCCTCGCGCTCCGCCATCGTCTCCAGCGCCTGCTGCTTCTCGTGCACCTCCTTGTACTTGGCCATATCTGCCTCATTGCCAAAGTCGTCAAAGTAGCCCGCGTCCGTCTCGCTGTCGAGCTCGGGCACAAACGGCGCCTTTTGCTCGCGCAGCTTCTCCCAGTCCACCTCGGCAAAATAGGCGTGCGCGTGGATCTCGCTGATGCCGCGGAAGCGCGACGTCTTGGACGCCACCAGCCGCGTAATCAGATCCCACGTCCGCTTGCTCAGGAAGTAGCTCGGGTCCTCGTACACGGGCTTCTTGAGCACCTTCTTCCACTGCTTCAGGTTCTGCCAAGTCTCGTCCACCGTCGCGCCCGCAAACGGCGGGTATCCCGCCAGCGCCTCGAACAGCATGCATCCCAGACTCCAGTAGTCGACCGTGAAGTCGTACTCTTCACCCTTGAGCACTTCGGGCGCCATGTAGTCAGGGCTACCGACGATGCTCTTGGCGTAGTTGACGTCGCGCTCGCGCAGTGACCGATACGCGTCTCGTCGTTCCGCCGCCGTACGCTCCTCCATGGGCCGGCCGAAGGGAACCGCGACGTTGCCCACCGACTCGAGCTTCACTCGCATGGATTCAATCTTGGCGGGTGCGAGCATGCCCGCGGCGAGACCAAAGTCGGTGAGCTTGACGTGGCCGGTGCTGTCGATGAGGAAGTTTTCGGGCTTCAAGTCACGGTGGATGTAGCCGAGCTGGTGCAGGGAGTCGACGCAAGAGAACATCTCGGCGACGTAGAATCGTGCGTGGCGGTTGTGCAGCACGCCAGTGTTGTTGAGCAGAGTACGGAAATCTCCACCGGGCACGTATTCCTAGACTGGTCAGTATGAGCGGAAATGTGTGAAGGTCAATAACGCACCATGGCCAGGTAGATGCTTCTCTCGTCCTGGAAGGCATAGAGCAGCCTGGTGAGCCACTCGCTCTTGGCATTGGTCAAGATGTCGCGTTCGGTGAGGACGTGTCGGACTTCGTCAAGCTTGAACAGCAACTTCTTACTCATGACCTTGAGGGCGCACACCTCGCGCGTGTCCTTCTTCTGGGCGAGATAGACCTGTCCATAACCACCCTGTCCGACCTGCGTGAGGATTTGGAAGTCACCGTGCCTCAACCTAGTCCTACGCTTGCGCAGGTTTGCGCGTTCGCGACCAAGGTATTTTTGGAGCACTTCATGGTACTCTTCGTCGGGCGTGTCGGGGGGAGGCGGGTATTGCGCCTTGAATTGCGACAAACGGGTCTGACGATTGTGGACGTAGGAGAGGAGGTCGTAGTAGTAGTCGAGGAAGTCTGGAGGGTCAGTCAGTCAGCGCATGGCACGATCCATGGCAGAGGGCAAACGCACAGAGCTGGGTGACATTGGCCAGGCGCTTGACCGAAGGCTTCTGCAACTTCTCGACGTCCTCTGGAGACAGGCCGCGCTGGAGATTGTACGTCTTGCCGACAGAGGCGTCGCCGCGCGGCTTGTAGGGCTCCTGGCGTGAGGCGGCGGCCTGTGTCACGAAGTTGGACTCTTTGGGCACCGCCGGCCTGTCTGGCGGCGTGTTTTCCTTGTTCGCCCTGCGCGTTGGGCTGCCTTGGTCGAATTCCGACCTGTTGGGGCTGGGCGAGGCGGGCGAGTGCTGGACAGGACGAGCGATGCGGCTGGGAGTGCCGACGGTGGGCATGAGCTTCATGGCATTGTCGAAGACATTGGGCAAGTCATAGGCACCGGGCGGGGCATGGTGCTTGCTGGGACTGCCGGTGGGAGTCTGCTGGGGCGACAGGAAGGCCGGGTTGGACGAGGGAGTCTCGGGACGGTTGTACATGTCGGGCGGGAAACGGGTGTGGAGGGGTGGAGGAGGGAGGGGCATATCGAAAGGGCGCTTGTCGTCCATGGCGGTCGTGGGAACAGCGGCGCACAGTGGTGAAGTAGGTGCCGGCAGAGAAAGATTGTCGCGCGCGGGAATGCGATCAACAGCGCATCGCGCCAGCGCCCTGGCAACACCCAAGCTTGGCGCCGTCGTATCAGCCGCATTCCCCTCATTTCCCATCATCACCACCGTGCTCGACAACGTTTCAAGGCGCCGAGCCGCATTCTAGAAGCTGATGGTTGGCTACTGGCTGGTTGGCTGGCTGGCTGGCGTGCTGGCGTGCCTTAGTTGACCCGGCTCCCCACGGCTAGTGACACCATCACACACGCACGCATGCCCAGTCGCCGCCGCAACCCATCGAGAATAGATGGGAACGATGCGACGACAATGTAGGTGGTTAGTTATGTAGATGGGTGCCTGTTCTTCCTCGGGCTGTCTCGCTGTCGGGCCTCTGCCCTCTCTCTCCCGCCCGCCCGCTGCCCGCTGCCCGCCGCCCGCCCACTGCCGTCATCAAATATTAACCCCGGGATCTCCCGGTCAATTTTACGCCTTTGCTTCTCCGCTAGCTTCTCCTCCTCCAGCTGCAGCATTGAAGCTTCATCTTCATCAATTGCCCATCTCGCCGCCATGCTTCGCTCCATTGCGCCCCGGGTTCGCGTTTCCGAGAGCCTCCTCCGTCCCGCAGCACATGCGCGGGCGGCTCTCCCCGCGTCGGTTGCCGCCGGCAGGGCCTCGTCGCGTCCCCTCTCTGTCCTCCCCCGCGCCGCCAGACCTCAGCTTCGCATTCCCCAGACCAACGCTCTGCGCACCTTTGCTACTACCTCCAGGATGGCTTCCAACACCCGTACCGAGAGCGATGCCTTTGGCGAGATCCAGGTCCCCGCCGACAAGTACTGGGGAGCTCAGACGGAGCGTTCGCTGGAAAACTTCAAGATCAACCAGCCCCAGGACCGCATGCCTACGCCCATCATCCGCGCCTTCGGTATCCTCAAGGGCGCTGCTGCGACCGTCAACATGAAGTATGGTCTTGGTAGGTAGGTCCAGCTTGGTTCTGCACCGCCAGCGCTAACGCTCTCCAAGACCCCAAGGTTGGCGCCGCCATCCAGCAGGCCGCCAGCGAGGTTGCTTCTCTCCAGCTCGCCGAGCACTTCCCTCTCGTCGTCTGGCAGACGGGCTCCGGCACCCAGTCCAACATGAACGCCAACGAGGTCATCTCCAACCGCGCCATTGAGATCCTCGGCGGCACCATGGGCACCAAGAGACCGGTCCACCCCAACGACCATGTCAACATGTCCGCCTCCTCCAACGACACCTTCCCCACGGTCATGCACATTGCTGCCGTCCTTGACATTGAGGAGTCGCTGTTGCCCGCGCTCAAGGACCTCCGCGACGCCATCAACAAGAAGTCGCTGCAGTTTGAGCATCTCATCAAGATTGGCCGCACGCACTTGCAGGACGCCACTCCTTTGACGCTCGGCCAGGAGTTCTCCGGCTACGTCACCCAGCTCGACTACGGCATTGCGCGCGTCGAGTCGTCTCTTCCCCGCCTGAAGATGCTGGCCCAGGGCGGCACTGCTGTCGGCACCGGCATCAACACCTTCAAGGGCTTCGCCGAGGGCATTGCCGAGGAGGTCAGCAAGATGACGGGCTATGACTTCGTCACCGCGCCCAACAAATTCGAGGCTCTCGCCGCCCACGACGCTGTCGTCGAGGCGTCTGGCCAGCTCAACACCCTCGCCGTGTCGCTCTTTAAGATCGCCCAGGACATCCGCTTCCTTGGCTCCGGTCCCCGCTGCGGTCTGGGCGAGCTCAAGCTGCCCGAGAACGAGCCCGGCTCGTCCATCATGCCCGGCAAGGTCAACCCGACCCAGTGCGAGTCCCTGACGATGATCTGCACGCAGGTCTTCGGCAACCACTCGACCGTCACCTTTGCCGGCTCGCAGGGCAACTTTGAGCTGAACGTCTTCAAGCCCGTCATGATCAAGAACCTGCTCCACAGCAGCAGGCTTCTGGCTGACGGCATGAAGAGCTTCGAGAGGAACCTCGTCCACGGCCTTGAGGCTGACGAGCAGAGAATCGCTGCTATCCTGAAGGAGAGTCTGATGCTCGTGACCTGCCTGAACCCCATCATTGGTTACGACATGGCCTCCAAGGTTGCCAAGAACGCGCACAAGAAGGGCACGACGCTCAAGGAGAGCGCGATGGAGCTGAACGCGCTGAGCGAGGCCGAGTTTGACCAGCACGTCCGTCCTGAGCTCATGATTGCGCCCAAGGAGAAGAAATAGATGAGGCGCGAAGCCACTTGTATCTATATCCCTGTAGCGAGAGATTGTAAACCCTCCAGTATGTAGTTAGCGATGGTAGTAGATTTAGGTAGCTGAACATGTAAAGATGTATACATGCAAGGATGCGCGGGAATAATGTGAGCTGGTGTATGATGCCATCTTATCGATAAGCCGGGCTTGAACTTTCTCCAACCGCAAACACAATCCAAACAAACCCACCATCCACCAACCACCCACAATGGCCGTCGAAACGAGCGCCCCCACAGAGCCTGCCCTCTCCTTCCCACGCGACATCTTCGCCGCCCTTTCTCCGACCGGCTTCCTGCAAGCACACCTCACGCCCGAAAGCGATGCTACGCCCACTCGACCCAACGGACGCCCATGCGCTACGGGCCGCCCACCCCTCGTCAACACCAACACGCTGACGCACAGCGCCGGCAGCGGAGTGGTGCGCCTAGGCGACACGGCCGTCGTGTGCGGCCTGCGCGCCGAGATTCTACGCCTAGACGACGTGCCGAACCCGCCGAGCGGGATGGGGGACGCCGGACCGGGGGACGACGTTGAGGGAGAAGAAGAACACGAAGACGACAGGGCAGAGATTGAGGGCCTGGGCCTGCTAGTGCCGAACATCGAGCTCGCGACGGGCGCCTCGCCCGCCCACGTCCCGGGCCAACCTCCCACTGCGGGCGCGCAGGCGCTGACGGCGCGTCTGCTGGCGCAGCTGCATGCGACGCGCGTGGTGCGCGCCCGCGACCTGCGCATCACGTATACGCCGCCTCCGCGCGCCGACATGGACGACTACGATGACGACGATCTCCCCCAGCGCCAGGTCAAGGCCTACTGGACGCTGTATCTGGACGTGCTGGTGTTGAGCCTGGACGGTAACGCCTTCGACGCCGCGTGGGGCGCTGTGCTGGCCGCGCTGCGCAACGCGTACATGCCCGCCGCGCGCTGGGACCCGGACACTGCGGGCGTGGTGTGCGCAGACGCGGTGGCCGAGGCGCGGCATCTGCGGCTGCGCGGCCTGCCTGTCGCGGCGAGCTTTGCGGTGTTTGCGGGCGATGGGCGTGCGGGCAAGGAGGCGCGGCAGGGGGTGCAGCTGCTGGGCCTGGGGGAGCAGGAGCACGCGTCCAAGGGCGAAGACCGTGCTTGGCTGCTTGCGGACCCCGACGCGTTCGAGGAGCGCCATTGTCGCGAGGTCGTGTGCGTGGTGCTGGATTGTTCGGGAGGGAAGACGGCGCTGCTCCGCGTCGAGAAGCATGGCGGGGGCGTGGTGGACAGGGCCGCGCTGCGGAGCGTGGTCCGTCTGGCCGAGGGGCGGTGGCGCGAGTGGTCTGTTGCGCTGGAGTGGGATGCGCCGAGGTGAGCGGGCGGTGCTGGGGAAGTGCATTAAAAAGCTGGGGTTTGAGGGATGGGTGGCAAGGGGATGGGATTGGGGCAGACATGGCATGAGAGACGGACAGCAATGATGGTGTACGGACGACATAATCGACCAGGCGCGAAACAAACAATTCGCCGTCCGGGAAGACGGCTCTTACGCAACAGCGCGGCATGCACCCATTTTCCGCGCGAGCACGAGCACGAGCAGCACGCACGCAAGCGGATTCGCCGCTGCTCCTACCTACCATTCCGCAACACCAGACACACACACACACACACACACACTACAGCCATACACCGCAACCGCAGCGCAGGAACTGGAAAGGGGAGGAAGCAGGCAAGCAAGCAAGGAATCAAGGAACGAAGGGAGGGAGAGATGGAGAGAAGGAGGCGGGGGAAAGAGCAAGCACGCCTGTCTGCCTGTCTTTCTGTCTACCACCTACTTACCTACCCACGTGTACGACAACCGTGCAAACAAAAACGAACGCTGTATCTGCATACATACCTAATCATACCCTCCTCCGTTTGTATGTCTGTGCGTCTGACTGACTGTCCTTTTTTGGTGGCGATGTCGAATGGTGGAAAATTAGAAGTGAGCAGCAAGTGAGCAAGTAGTTGGACGAACAGTGGTTGTCTGCGGTGTCAGTTCGACAACAAAAAGAAAAAAGAAAAAGAAAAAGAAAAAGAAAAGAGAGCACGCGTAAAAGTGCACTGTACATACATGCCCTGCCCTGCAGTACCCACCCCATTCATTCATTCATGCATCCATCCATCCAGACGCTCCAGACCCACCTACTACTCACCCAGCACCGATTAACGACTTACTGCTCACTTGACCGCCACCTCCAACGTGCGTCACCGCGAACCGAGATGCACCGTCTATATCATCCATCCCCTGTCTCGCTAATCAGTCCCTACGGAGTACTAGTACCTTGCCCAGCTCCCAGCCCGAGGCCTAGGTATGGGTGAAAAGGTCTTAGAGTATATATAGACTTACTATATCTTAACTAGGTATCTTCTTCTACTCTATACAACTATCACCATCTCGCTTCATGGTAACGGACGTTACCTGCCATTTTATTGTTTTGGAGGGTATGCATGTAGTAGGCGTAATGCTAGTGCGGCAAAGTTCCTCCCACCCTGAGGAGATGTAGAAACGTAGATTTTTTGTCTTTGCTTTATTTTTATTATATATATACCTCCTAACAAACCCGTTCGTACCAGACCGCCGAGAAAGCTATAGGCATGTATGTATGTATGTACCCGATAAATGCACGCGTATATCTATGCTGTGTGGCGCTGCTGCTGGAGATGGGTGATGCTGTGGTGTGGTGTGGTGTTGGTGGGCTATGTGTATGTGGAATAGAATAGAAAATAAACCGCCATTGTTTGTCCGTCGAACTGAACTGGACTGGACCGCTAGATGCCAATGCCAATGCCAATATCAGATGCCCCATCGTCCGTAAGTGTCCAGCAGCAATAAGCGCAGCAAACAAAACCCATGCATCATATCTCATGCCATCATCACCGCACATCCCTCATTCCTCCTCTCCCTCGTCACTCACCAAATTGCTCAACTCGCTATCACTGCCATCCTCCTCCCCCGTCTCCTCATCCGATATCTTCCCCCTCTTCCTCGCCTTCGCCTTCACCTTCCCCTTCCCCTCAGCCACACCCCCCTTCCGCACACCCCCCCTCGTAACCAAATGCTCAATAACACACCCCCTCGCCCAGCCCTCACTGCCCAGCCCCGTCGCAGCCCTGCACCGCGGACAGCTCTTGCCATGCCGGATCAGCAGCGCGTGCAGCGGGTACTTCAGCTCGTCCGGGATGCGCACCTCGCAGTGCGCGTACGTCGAGTTGCGCGTCGCCTTGTCCGGCGGCACCCACTGCAGGTACTTGCATAGTCGGAACACGTGCGTGTCGACGGCGAAGCTGGGCCGCTGCAGGCAGAAGAGCAGCACGCAGGACGCCGTCTTGGGGCCGATTCCGGGGTACTTGATTAGGTGGTTGAAGGCGTCTTCGGAGGGCACTGCGTGCAGGTGGTCGAGGGAGAGGACGTTCGACTCGGCCCGCGCGATTTCCGCCTCCTTCTCTGCTGCAGATTCGTTTTCTGCGCCGGCGGGCGCGGCGGCGGATTCTTTGGTGAGGGTTTCGTGCCGGTCTTGGTTCTCGCGGTGCACCATCTGCAGGATGGATTTGATGTCCTTACTCTTAACGTCGGCGAGGCCGCCGCTCTTAATCGCTTGAAAGATTTCCTTCGTGTCGGCGCGGCGGACGGAGTCCCAGTTGACACTGCCTTTACCGATGCCTTCTTCTATGATTCCGAAACGGTCGACGAGACCGCGGAATGCCCTTGAGGAGTTGGCGCCGGTCGTGGCTGCGCTGAGTCTTGTCCGGATCAGAGCGTCCAGGACTGAGGGTACCTCACCGCATCCAGACACATCGAGAGAGGGCGGTGGGACGGATTTTGGAACCTGGACCTCACCATGGATGCTCGACAACAATCGGACGACTTCTTGACACTCCTCAGGGGTGGGATGAGGCCATTCCGGGTACGGAGTCGAGCCTGGGGTCAATCCGTAGTCGAGGTTTTTCTTCTTCTTGGCTGACTTTGCACCTTCCTCGTCTGTGGCAGCTACCTTGGCAACCATTGGAGCAGCATCTTTAAGGGCCTTTTCAAGATCAGGCTTGGACGCTTTCTTTGGAGCGCGGGCCCTCGCCTTCTTGGAAGCTGGCTGCTCAGTCTCAGGTGATTCTACACTGGCCGATGGAATACGGCCAAGGTTGTGTGGCAGGTCATTGATATCTTCCTCTTTCTTGGTAGGTTCCCGCGTCCTCTTGCGGCTGCCCTTTCCCGTTGCTGGGGTGGCGGGTGAGCTGGAGAGCTGCTCAGATTTGATGGCCTTCGGCGTCTGCCGAGAAGACGCTGATCGAGTGACACGGGCAGACATTGGGATGACTCGAAGACAAGAGTTTCTTGCTATGAAGAGTGGGTTTGAGTGAATGAGCTGTGTTTGTAGGCCTCGAAGCAAGCTCCGCCGGAGAAGCTTCGACTGTATAAAGGGAAGGATCAGTATGGTGAGAGATGCGAGCGAGACAGGGAAATTGTAAGAGAAGAGGGAAGCCAACAGGATGTGAGGAAGAAGAAGACGTAGAACAGAAGACAGAGAAAAAGGACAAGAGGCAAAAGGTTGTTAGAGGATAGAGATGGGAAGGCGCGGCCGAAATAATGCATGACGTCTGCAACGCTAGTCATGCAGGGTCTCCCGGACCACCGCCCACAATCTTCAATCGAGTCCGACTACTTCTGCCACTCTTCCAACAACCCTCACCACCTACACCTATCGCTATGGCTGGTACTGGCGCCCTCGTAGTTCCCGCGCTCAAGCGCCACACGGCCACCGTCATCGTAGCACACGGCCTCGGTGACAGGTAAACAATCCCCTCCACACCCTAGTACCCCGCAGTCCGGCAGGTAGCAGCTAGTTGCTGGATGCCGGTGCTTTAGCATCAGCCAACATCTGGCCTTTATGATCGGCACACAGGCATGCGACTGACAACGTACTCTTTTTCGCAGTGGCGCGGGATGGATGTTCCTGGCCGAGAACTGGCGCCGCCGCAACAAGTTCGACGAGGTGTCATTCATCTTCCCCAGCGCGCCCGAGATCCCCATCACCATCAACATGGGCATGCGCATGCCCGGCTGGTACGACCTGCACTCTCTGTCCGACATCAACCGCTCCGAGGACGAGGTCGGCATCAAGCGCAGCATGGACTACTTCCACAGCCTGATCAAGGACGAAATGGATAAGGGCATAAAGAGCGAGCGCATCGTCATCGGCGGCTTCTCGCAGGGCGGCGCCATGTCGCTCTTGTCGGGCGTCACCTGCCCGCAGAAGCTGGGCGGCATCTTCGGTCAGTCCATTCTTTGAGGCTTACAAACACGGACGTACGGCTGACGAGTGCCCCAAAAGGTCTGAGTTCGTATCTGCTCCTCCGCGACAAGTTCCGCGACATGGTCCCCGCCGAAAACCCCAACAAGGACACCCCCATCTTCATGGGCCACGGCGACGCCGACCCCGTCGTCCAGTACGTGTGGGGCCAGGGCACCGCGAGCATGCTGAAGGAGTGGGGCTGGACCGTCGATTTCCGCACCTACCCGTAAGTCGTCTGCTTTCCGCGTTCAAGAACACACAGGTCCTGACTTTAATCAGTGGTCTTCCCCACTCGGCCGACCCGGAGGAAATCGACGACCTTGAGAGATACCTTAAGAAACAGCTTCCCCCGCTTGGAGACGCTTGACTGTCTGCACCTATGATACCTTTTCCGACGACGACGATTACGACGGCGGCTTTAGTCTTGCTACCCATTTTGTTTTGCATAGCAGCGTACAAGAGGGCGAATCTGCGCCTCTTTGCTGTGTTTGTTGCTTTGCTGTTCGCTTGAAAGACCAGCATTTTATGTTGGCTGCGTAGATACGAATGTGGGATTTATCTGTTCTGTTGTTCTGTTCGCTGGAGATGATGCTGTTGTCGTAGATGGCTGGTTTTTCAGGTATTGCAATACCCCACATTCTCTTAGGGATCGTGTAGTGGACTATGCGAGGCAATGTAAGATGTGCATCTCCAGCGAGGCTCATCGCATATGTTGCGAAGGATAAAATACTTTGCCTAGTCATCATCTGAAGAGGTAGGTGTTAGACTCTGTAAGTCCCAAAACTCTTGCTTAGTGTGGTTCTGTATCAATGCCTGCATCAATCAAGTCTAGATTATGAAGACTTACAACAGATGCATCCAATTTTCACACTGCCGAAGCATAGCTGTTGTTTAAATAGGTGTTTTGTAGTAAAGCTGCTTGCTGGGCGTAAATCTATAGCAACCACCAACACCCCTAGAACCTCTCAGCACTTCCTATAACTTCCTATAACTTTCTCTCACCCCCGAAAACCGAGATCCACCGTCTAGCGAGACAGGGGACAATACAAGCGATCCCTACAGGAGTACGCCTTATCTGGCTCATAGTCCGAGTCCGGGGTATGGACGTAAAGGTCTTGGAGCACACAGACTCTATTATACATCGTAGCTGGGTCTCTTATTCTCCTCCGTACAAGTATCACCATCGAGCTTCCCGGTGAATCGAGATTCACGGTGGTTGCTTGTGTGCGTGGTGGATGGTGTGCGTCTGGCATACTCGCTGGACTATAGCCCTGTTTTTGCTCTCAACGGCTTGCCCGTTTTGGATGAGTTTATCGCCTGAAGAGGCGGATAATGGACTATGAAGGTTTGCAGAACTTCCAGTATTCCTTGAGAGCTGCTGAATTCAGGTCAACCATAAGCTGGCAAACACATACTCCTAAGCCTGCATACTGCTTCAGTCCGAATCGGGATGGTACGCTTTGTAGACCTGTAGAGCCCCCTCAATGCTCTGTACAAGGCCAAAGAATATCGTAAGAAGCAGCACCGCAACTGCTACCCAGAACGTGTACCACTGCGGGCCATTTCGCCTGTCATACCACCATTGCGAAAGCGTGCTCGGCTCGGCCTCATCAAACACCTGCTTCAGGATGACAAGCCGGTCACGCCAGAAAGCGAAGTTGTCGATTCGGCGATCGTCGGCTCTGAGACGCGTACACTTGTTGGCTTGGACGTCGAGGTTGCAGAAGGACTGCTGCTGTCGAAACCACGTCTGCGTGTCCCTGTCGTTGGATGGTAGGAGCAAGGCAAGAGTGCGTAAAGTCTCGTCGACGAATCCTCTAGGGAAGATGTCACTGATGAAGTAAGCACATGGTCAGTTGAACTCCAGGCGTAACTGTGCACTCACTGTCGCTGGTACTTTAGGAACGTGACGTGGTGGAATATAGCCACACTCTTGTCGTCATTGTAGAGACGTAAATGATCGGCCAGGTTGTGCGTCCAAACGACCTCGAGTCCAGCCATGCGTACGAGGTTGCGTGCGTTGAACACTTTTTCCAGTTTGACGTGCTCCTTCGCTAGGCTTTGGGTGTTGCCGAAATGGGAGCTGATCAGATCCCTGAGCGTTCCTTCCTTCCACACAAGTCGACTTTGACCTGAAAACCCATACTGGATTCCTCCAACCTCAGTCATCAGTATAAGTTGAGCAGCGGTATGTTATCCAAAGGCTCGTTGATCGAATCTGCAACGCTACAACTCAAGCTTTGAGTGGCGATGCGCAGACGGTTGCCCCAGACAACAAAACGGAAAGCTCGGTCAAAATGAAGCAAGAAACTTCAAAGTCGAGGCCTGATGTTGGAGATCGCAAAGTGGATTTGGAGCACCAAGTTGCGAGGGAAGATGGAAGAAGCGAAGACTAGACTGCTTGTTGACGGGAGGAGATAATGTATGCACCCCTGGCACTTATTCTTGTTGATTTTCAACGTGCAGTCTAGGAGTCATCTATGCCTATAGAAGCGTCAATTATCAACAACATAAGAGGCTTATTGAGCTCCTTGAAGTTGCAAGCTAATACTCATGTGAAAATGCTGGTATATATCGCAGAGCGTGTTTCCGACGCCATGCGAAGCTGTCTTTGCAGACGCAAATTGCCCACTTTTGGTCTGCCAGAGCTTGATTTATGTTGATGAACAAGTTCAGTGGAAAAGGAAAGGAGCCCTGGAAACTTGTTCGTGCCTTTGCAGCGGTCAGTCCCGTAACGTCCGTCACTGTCCACCGAGATTCAGCGTCTAGCGAGATAGGGAAGGATACAACCAGTCCCCATGAAATACTTCTTGTCTAGCTATAAGCCTAAGTCCTAGATATGATTGAAAGGGACTTAAAGCATATACATATTATAGACAGCTTACCCGGATTTTTTCTTCCACTCCGTGCAAGTACCATCATCTCGCAAGATAGTGAATACCTATCGCTTGACGGTGACGGACGTTACGCCAGAAAATATACCAACTAAAAAATTAATACAGACCCAGTGATCTGCACGAGTAAACAAAGCACTAGAACCTGGAATGCAGGATGGAGAAAAAATTAGTACCGGAAAAGGAGCCAGAAGTGGTAGACTATTCGTTGATTTCTAGACGTCCCATCTCGCTCTGGCTCTACACGGATAAGCAAAGATCCGTTTCGCACAACCACACATAAGCTACCATTTCCAGGGCAGCTTGAAGTCGCCATCATCTTCACAGGCTCGAGCCGAACAAATATGCGCCTGTCGTTTTACCATGCAACGCCATACAGCCCCTCCCAAGGCTGCTATGCTCCGAGAAGCTAGAGTAGATACATTCATAATTGGAAACCGCTCAATCAAACTGTAGGTGGTCAGTCAGCATGCAAAATAGTTGGGAGTTTTTTTGCATCTTGCTTACAGGAGTCAGGAAAGACTCGGCGACGAAACGAGCTCTCGCGTTCAGCTATTACAAGTTAGAGCAGCCAGTCCACGCAGGGTAATGGACTGGAGTCATCCAAGAACTTACGAATAGCTTCATCTCGGAAATCTCCTTGTCCACCTCCTCCATGAACTGGATGATGAAGTCTACCAGCTTGTGCTTCAGCATTTCCTCGGTGTGGAAGTTCGTTATCAGGAAAGAAATGTCATAACCCTGCGCCCAGTTAGCCGGGAGCTACAGCGACGCCGTCAGGCCGCAATGAGCCCACCTTGATCGGCTTCCTCCGCAGAATGAAGAACGACTCGGCTCTCTGCGTCAAGAAGCGCGTGAACTTGTGGACCAGGATGTGCTCGATCTCGTCGGCCTGCTTGATCTTGATGCTGATGCGCACGCTGTTAATGCTGGGCTCGATGAGCACCCTCTCGTTCTCATTGCGGGAGACGGTCAAGGGGTTCAGGAGGACTTCTGGCGAGGTAGCGGCCTCAATCTCAGGCACATTGTGGCGCTCGGAGGCTTGCGAGGCGAAGTTGGACAGCGAGAGGGCGGCGGTGAGGGAGGAGCGGACGCATTGGAGGTAGGGCCGGAGGGATTGCGACTGTAGCAGGCGTCAGCGGGGATGCCAGCGGGCCGGGAGGTTTGTAGCTCAAGGCGGGAGGGCGGCGTACCATGATGGCGGACGGGCGTCGACAATGCGGACGACCGTGGCGATGCGGGTGGGCGAGACGGAGCTTGCGGCGACGTTATGGAGCTCCCCCGTGCTCTGACAGGTTACTATGATGATGTGTGGTTGGCGGGGGGCTCAGATGCGGTGATGCGCAGCCCGGTCGGCGATTCGGAGCTTGGCGGTGACCTAATCGGAGCGGTGCCATGACCTTCCATCGCCTCAGCAATCCATCCTATCGCGGGGGCAATCTCTCTTTCACACACTCTCACTCAATTCATCTTCTGCCGCAGACATGGCGTCCGTACCAGGTAAGCTTTGCCCGTTCCCTCCCGCCGCTCCGTTCCGCGCTCACCCCGCCACACAGTGGTTGTGAAGCACCAGGGCAAGAAGTACGATGTCGAGCTTGACCCGACCTCCACCGGTGAGACGTTCAAGATGCAGCTCTTCTCCCTCACCGGCGTCGAGCCCGAGCGCCAGAAGGTCCTCGTCAAGGGCGGCCAGCTCAAGGACGACACCGACATGTCCAAGCTCAACGTCAAGCCCGGCCACACCTTCATGATGATGGGCACTCCGTCGGGCGATGGCGCGGGCGCCATCGAGAGGCCCAAGGAGAAGATCCGCTTCTTGGAGGACATGACCGAGGCCGAGGCCGCCCAGGCAGTGGGCGCGACGCCCGCCGGTTTGCAGAACCTCGGAAACACCTGTTACATGAACTCGACACTGCAAACGCTCAAGGCCATCCCCGAACTGCAGCAGGAGCTGCAGCGCTACCAGCCTGGGTGCGTGGACCATACCCATCGTGCTAGCTTCAACCACTGACTTTAAACGCAGATCGTCCGCAGGCAGCTCCGACCTTAGCCGTTTTGGGCTCGGAGGTCTGGGAGCCACGAGCGACCTCACGCAGTCGCTGCGTGATCTGTTCAAGCAGATGTCCGAGACACAGGAGGGCTTCCCGCCCATGATGTTCCTCAACGCTCTGCGCACCGCTTTCCCCCAATTCGCGCAGAGGGCCAAGGACGGACACGGATACGCACAGCAGGATGCGGAGGAGGCATGGTCGCAGATCGTCACTCAGTTGCGCCAGAAGCTGAAAGGAAGCAATGGCGAAGCTGCAGACTCCTCCTTCATCGACAAGTATATGAGAGGCAGCTTTGAGTCGGTAATGGAATGCGACGAGTCGGCTGCAAAGGAGGGCGGCGAGGAGCCTATTAAGGGCTCGGATGAGTTCCTCAAGCTGAACTGCCACATCACGTCCGAGGTGAACCATTTGCGGGAGGGCATGCAAGCTGGTATGGAAGAGAAGATCGAGAAGAACTCTGAGGTCCTTGGCCGTAACGCCATGTATACGAAGACTTCGCGCATCACGAGGCTGCCGAAGTACCTTCCTGTCCATTTCATGCGCTTTGACTGGCGCAGGGATACGAACAAGAAGGCCAAGATTATGCGGAAGGTCACATTTCCCCAGGAGTTGGATGTTGTCGAGTTTTGTTCCGAAGACCTGAAGAAGCTGCTCATCCCAGTTAGGGACAAGATCAGGGAGATTAAGAAGGAGGAGGAGGATGTTGAGCGGGCCAGGAAGAGGCAGAAGCGGATGCAGCAGGAGCAGGGAGGTGCCCAGCAGGAGCAGAAGGGCAAGGGACCTGCTACTGAACAACAGGCCTCTTCTGGAAAGAAGGATGACAAAAAGGATGACAAGAAGAAAGCCTCCGGCAGCGGCGACGTCGAAATGGAGGATGTCGTCTACAAGACCGACGCGGAACTCGAGGCTGAGCGTGCTGCTTCGATCTTGAAGGCGAAGAAGGAGCTCTTGGCTTTGGTTGACGCTAAGCTCACGTCGGACGAGGGCTGTAACCAGTCGGGTCTCTATGAGCTGCGCGGTGTTATCACTCACCAAGGTGCCACTGCCGACAGCGGTCACTACACCTCGTTCGTCAAGAAGGAGGGTGATAAGGACTTGAAGACTGGCAAGCGCAAGGAGGAGGATGGCAAGTGGTGGTGGTTCAACGATGACAAGGTTTCTGAGGTCGAGTTGGACAGGATTGAGTCCTTGTCTGGCGGAGGTAAGAGTATTGTTAAGTCTTCGATTGTGCAAACGCTGACATTTCCCAGGCCAAAGTCACTCCGCTTTGATTCTCCTCTACCGCGCAGTTCCTCTTCCCTCGAAGGAGGAGATTGAGGAAGCGTCCCAGGCTTCTACCTAAGCAGCACACATATAAGATGACGTTGGCCATGTCTTCTATGGGGTGCGCATACTGGTAATGGGCTTGGGATTGTATGAGTGATGAGCATAGCGTGCATTGGTGATAGATTCTTGCTCGCTTTCGAGCCACATAGAACGGGATGATGGCACATTAAGAGCCTGAAGAGCTTCAAATATTAGTATTCCATAACCATACCTTCCACATTGAGAGTGTCGCGAAGACGTGGCTCGACGTGCTCGACGTGCTCGACGTGCTCGACGTGTCTTGACGCGCTTTCTACTTCGACAACCTTTGACACCTAACTGTCTTCAACCTTCATCTCTCCTCAAACTCACCTCGCTCTCTTACATCTCATCGATCGTTCCCTGTCAAGTGTATCATTTGTCTCAGTCCGTCGTGTGCTTCGTCATGTTCTACAGTCACGAAGGTAAGCTATTGATTCTTATCAGGTCCATGTCATCTCTGACCAGACTGCAGTCCTCACCTCTCGCAAACATGGTGTTGCAACGGTGTGGTAAGTAAACCCTCTTCACTTCACTGTCCTTCTCTGACATGAGCACAGGCTCGTTGCTACGCTCGGCTCCAAGTCCAAGATGAGAAAGGTCACTCGCAAAGACATCCTTGACGTCAACGTACCCAAAGCTTGCGAGACAATCATTGCGCCTCAAGCTCCCATGGCGCTGCGTCTCCAGAGCAGTCTTCTGTAAGCCTTCAGCTGAATGTTCATTTCTCTGCTAGCTTCCTCACTGACACTTCAGTTACGGAATCTCGCGCGTGTATTCCCAACAATGCTCCTACATCCTAACCGACGCGCAGAACGCGCAGACCAACATGCGTGCCGCCATTCGTGCCATTAAGAGTGTGGAGTTGGATCTGGAGGTTGCACAAGCTAGGTAAGCGCGTTTAACCTCACTTCACTCACATTCGTACTGACGTAAATAAGGCCGGAGCAGCTTCTACTCGAGGACGATCCGACATTTCTCCCGGACTTTGCGCTCGCTCCGCTCGACTTTGACCTCTCCAACCTCGAAGCGCCGTCTCCCCGATCAGAGAAACTAAGAAGCAGCCGAAGCGGTTCACGATCGAGCATCTCGCTTGAAGAGCAACTACCAGCAGGACCTGTGGGCGGACTGGAACTGCCTACATCGGATTCAATTGGAGGAGACCTTGGTGGTTTTGTGGTTCCTGGTGACGAAGGCCCAGGTGTCAAGGTCCCAGACGCTGGTGCTCTCATTGCGGAAGATGATGGCTTTCTGCCGGAAGCGGACTTTGGATTCGACGCGGATGGCAATCTTCTGGAATTCACGGGTACAGATCAACCACACCACAGCACGCCTGGCACTGCACCGCGATTGGGGCTGGGAAGTGACACTGCTGCGAGCGCGAGGGTCAGACAGGACCATGAAGGTGGCCAATTGCCTGGAGAAGATGTAAGCTTTTTCACCTTTCAACGACAAACAGGACTGATAGGCTTAGGTCGGAGATCGTATGAACATAAACATTCCCCTAGGCGACGACCTCGAACAGCTTCCCGAGGGCGAGGCCTTTCCCTCCGCTCATGACGTCCCTACCTCTCCCTCCGGCCGTCCTTTGACTGAAGGGGATGTTGTCGAAACGGTCTCTTCAGAGCAGGCGCCGATGAAGCGCAAGCGCAAAGCCCGCGTCATTGCTCTTGACCAGTCCATGGAGCTCCGCAACACAGATTTGTCGAACTGGATGAAAAACTATCCTGCCAACATGGCCGAAGCAAGCATGCACAAGTTTGAAATCCGGACAAAAGCGCAAGCTAGGAAAAATGCCGAGCACTGGGTTCTCGGTGGCCTTGGTGGCATCAGTGGTATTATCGGAAATACTACCCTCAGCGGTCCACTCGACATGTTCCGGGGAGATGCCTTGCTCCGCGCTTTAGGCATCGCGACAAAGACATCGGTTGCCGGACAGAAACGGCCTCGTGAGAGTGTTGAGGAAGAACAGACGGAAGAGGAGAGACGTACTCGTCAACGTTCGGATGAAGATGACGTTGCACGCAGGTTGGATGAAGACAGTGGTTTTGTCAACATCGATGACATTGAACCCGAGCTGCCACGCGAAGGTCAACAAGATATGACCGAACATCTCTCAACTGGCATGCCGTGGAACATTACCGCATCTGCGCGCGGCTCCTCCGTTGCTCGAAGCGTACGTACCGCCCTAGGGCTCGGCAGTATGGGTGCAGCAGCTCCCACTTCGGCCGGCGGTCCGAGTTCAGTCGCAGGACCAGCTGGTTCACTAGGACGACGCGGAAGCCGTCTCGTCAGCGCAAGTCCATTGCTCGGCCGCGGCCGCGCTGGTACTCTCGAGCCCCTCCGCAGTTTGGAGGCCGAAGAAGGCGCAGCGCTAGGGGATGAAGGCGTCAGCCTTAATGATGAAGAAGAGTTTGAACTCTACGGCACCGCTGCGGGAGTCGACACGCAGACGGCGAACGAATCGCAGTTTCTGAACACGAGTCTCTTGCAGGAAGAGAACAATGTCCGCGTGTGGATGTACAATGCCCTCAAGGAGAAGATGGGCGTGCCTGCTGGCGACGAAGAAGATGTCCCCGAATCAGATGCCGTTCCTGAGGGCTTGTTTGAGAGCGAAATCCTCTTTGAGGAGCTGGTCCCGCTGGAGGGGAATACGAGAATCGTCGCGTGTCAGGCTTTTATGCATGTCTTGTCTCTGACGACGAAGGGCTTCATTACTGCTATGCAGGAGGAGCCTTTTGCTGACATTCGGCTCGCACTTGTGCCTGTTCAGGGTTAAGTGGAGAGGGTAGTGTGGGTTTGTCTTTTATTTGCTATGATTTTCGGTTTCGTTTCTCGTTTCTATTCTTTATTTGCTCTTCTTTTCTTTATCAGTCTTTCGGTCATTCATGAAATTTCTGCTGGCATTTTCTTAGCTATAGGCGTTGTTTTTTATGGCAGCTGGAGGTGTTAGATGTTTGCTTCACTTATGGCTTTATGATCAAGGAAGGGGATGGCTTACAGATTATGCAGATAGCAGAGGAGGCGCTGGAGTTAAGGGTCGCTCATATTGCTGTCATCATGGTTCTTTTCTGTCCTATCAAAGGATAACGATCATACCTAATTTTCTTCGCTCCAAATAGAGGCTAGCTATTAACGAAGATTCCGGATGACCTGTCCACCTCTCAACTACCTCAAGTGAACCCTAATCTAATATACCCACACTAAGTGGTCTTTCAAAATACATGACAAACATCAGAGACATCAGACGAAATATCGAGCGTAAGAAAATTGTCAAAAAAAGGAAGTGACGCAGCTAGGAATCGAACGTCGAATCTGCAAAAAGAAGAGTTAGGCAGCGGTTGAGGTGCAACACGCTCACGGGGTGCGTCACCCCTTCGGCTCAAACCGGTAAACCAGTAGACTAGTAAACCGGTAGGAACGGGAGGATATGCTTTAAACGGTGCTCTGGTTGCAGAATGAATTGCGCCGGGGGCTTATATAGTAATGTTTTTACTATGTGGTTCAAAAGTGGACGACTAAGAGTTGGATACTTGTCAGCTACGTATCTCACTACCATCGCGTCAATTCCTGTTCATGCTTCGCTTGATATATAAGACAAGGCACACCTCATGGCAAGTAGGCATCAGTATAGAGCACATTTTTGTTGATCATAGCAATTTAGTCAGTCTGTGAGCGCATGAGTTTGGTAAGCAAGAAAACTGCCGAATATGGCGGCTGGGTTTTAATTCGTGGCCCAGTACTTCTACCCGAGCATTTAGAGACTCTGGAGGATGGAAATGAACCTCCTTGACCACATGGCTCGAGTCTGCTCTTCTTGGAGCTCTTAACCGCGTGTAGAATAGCGGCAATGGTTACTTACATGAGCAGACATGCTCACACCTGCTTGCGCTACCACCCACACCGCACGGTGCGCTAGACACTCAAGTGCAGTGTGACGTCCCTCTTCGCGCGCGCAGCAACTCCGTCCCGGCCGCCTAACGTTCGTGATTCGTCTGCTCGCAGCAGCTCTCCCGCCCCATTCATATCTCATCATTCTCGACCACATACGCCCTCACGATCTTAACCTCGTCATTTGGGCGATCCTCCGCCCCCGTCTTCACCAGCCCCATGCGCTGCACGATCCTTAACCCGTTCTTCACGCGGCCGAAAATCGTATGCTTTCCATCGAGCCAGGGCGTCGGGGCCAGGGTGATGAAGAACTGGCTGCCATTGGTGTTGGGCCCGCTGTTGGCCATGCTGAGGATGCCCGCGCCCGTGTGCTTCAACGACGTGCTGATCTCGTCCTCGAACTTGTCGCCGTAGATGGAGCTGCCGCCGCGGCCGGTGCCCGTCGGGTCGCCTGTCTGCACCATGAAGTTCGGGATGATGCGGTGGAAGATGATGCCGTTGTAGTAGCCGCGTGAGGCTAGCGTGCTGAAGTTCTTGCATGTCTTGGGCGCGTGCGAGTTGTATAGCTCTACGGTTATGGTGCCCTGTCGCGTGTGTGAGCTTGTGGGGTTGGAATTGGGAGGTGGGTTGGCGTGAGGCTACCATTGTGGTCTCAATTGCGACGTCTGTGGCCATGATTGCGTATTTTAAAGGAATTAAGGGCGTAGGTCCTAGTGATTCTTGAGTAGTTGGAGATTCTCAGCGGCGTGAGTCCAGCGAGCAGAGCGATTGCGCCGGCAGAGCTTCGGTGAAACTGGTCCGTCCGCAGCGTCATCGTTTCCGCCGCTGTTGACTGATTGTGAGCTCGTCACCTGCGACAAATATATTCAAAACTAGCCTTTATAAAGAGAAGCTCCCGCGTGTCTCAGACAAACAAAGAAAAGTTACCAGCAACACCCCGGCATGGATTTAACAAAATGGGCGCTGCCCCAACTCTCCCGCCTCCTGCCTCTGGATGATGAATCACTGAAGCAAATTATCACCTACACCGACACTCTCTCGAGAGATGCTGCTGCCGAACACTTGAAGAACTTGCTGGGTGACCCTCCGCAAGCTCTGGAATTCATCACAAACTTCAACTCACGAAGGCCGCCTCCGCCGTCGGAAACCCCTGCGCCGCGAGGCCGGGCCCAGGATGAAGGCGTTCCTAGGCCCAAGGGCCGGCAGCAGAAGAAAAAGAAGAACATAGGTCAGCTGCCGCCGCGTCGTGTCGAGCACTCTGGAAATATCTCGGGCGGCTACATCAAGAAAGACGAGGAAGACTACATGGCCGGAACGTCCAGAAGCCGCAAAGAACCGCCTCTCGCAAATGTCCTGCAACTCCAGGAGAAGCCGGATGCGAAGCAGCTGCCTGTAGCTCAGAACAGCTCCTCGTCAACCAATCCCCAGGTCAAGCTGCCGCCTTCCGCAGCGGGACCGCTAATCTCTGACATCCCTTCGAAATCGAACTCACGCACGTCATCACCAGCACCAAAGGCAAAAAGCAAAGTCAATCTGTCTGGTGGTACCGCAATGCGCGGACAATCTGAAGTCCTCAACGATCTTGACTCCGCCATCCGAGCCCTCGAGATTCAGACCAACCCCAGCTTCTCCTTTTCCGCCGCAGACAATGCCAAGCGACGCTGCAACTGTATGGCCACGCGGCATCCCCTGCTAGAAGCCGCGCCGAACTGTGTCAACTGCGGCAAGATTATCTGCGTCAAAGAAGGACTCGGTCCCTGCACGTTCTGCGAGAAGCCGCTGCTCTCCGCGCACGACATCCAGTCTATGGTACGGGTGCTGCGCGACGAGCGCGGCCGCGAGAAGATGGAAGCCAACAACTCGGCGCAGAAGCGCGCAGAGGTCTCGAAGGCGCCGCGCGCCTTTGCCACGCTCGCCGCACCGGGCGTCGTAACCCCGTCCTCCTCCGACTCTGAGAACGAGAAGCTGGCCGCCGCCAAGCAGCACAGAGATCGGCTGCTCGGGTTTCAGGCTAACAATGCTCGCCGTACGAGGATTCATGACGAGGCTGCGGACTTTGAGACCCCGACTGCGGGCACGAGCATGTGGGCGAGCCCGCAGGAGCGTGCGCTGCAGTTGAAGCGCCAGCAGAAGGTGCTGAGGGAGCAGGAGTGGGCGTCGCGTCCTGAGTATGAGAAGCGCAAGGTCGTTGCTAGCATCGACTTGGCGGGTGGGAGAGTCGTTCGCCGCATGGAGGCGGTGCAGCGGCCCGAGTCGCCTGAGAGCGAGGAGGAAATTGAGGAAGAAGTGTTTGAGGAACCCGTTTCTGGACGGAAGGGCGGTGCGTTCAGCAGGAACCCGTTGCTGGGCGCGCTGATCAGGCCGGTTGCCAAGATGGATTCTGGGGACAAGGGAAAGGAGCGGGAGAGGGAAAAGGGGAGTCAGTGGAGACGGGTACAGGATGATCGTGACGACAACGAGCAGTGGATCTTAGATGGAGGCGTGTACGGCGGGATCACGGATGGGAGGCGGTTAGGAGCAGAAGAGCCTGCGTGTGGTTGATATCTTCAAATGCTGAACGGCTACCCGGCACCCAACGTCATCGCTTACACGCGCAACCCTGGTGTCAATCGTATTCCTACCTCAAGTCCAAAAACAATAAAAGCAGCCCATTCACAGCCATGCAAACCTCCAAAGCACACTCAAGCCCCTCAAACCCCCTCCAGCCAAAGCGTGACCACCACCCACGCCCCCCACTAAAACGCCGCGCACCACACAAGGGCTAACACCACACCGCCAACGCCAACATGCACCAGGCGCACACCTCCTTCTAACACCGCGCGTCAACCACCGCACTCGTTCAAAACTCCAGACACAAAAGGCACGCACATAATAGCCGAACGAACGGACGAGACAGCCATCCACCCATCCAGCCGTCTCCACAAACACACCGCGCACCGCGCCCCGCGCCATGCCGCCGCCGCACCTGCCCACGCTGCTGCTGCTCGGCCTGCTCGGCCTTCTCGCCGCCCTCTGGTCCTCCAACACGCTGTGCCGCGCGCCGCGCACACCCGCCTCCGCCGCCGGAGACGAACACTACGCCCGCGCGCCGTACTCGGCCAGCTGGACGGGGTGGTGGCACCGCGACCGACACGTCCACGCCGGCGCGGGGGACAAGGAGCGCGGAGGCGAGGTCGGCACGGACTGGAATGTGCTGTACCATTTGGGCGGGAATGGGCCGTGGGTCGAGAAGAGGAACGGCGTTGTTGAGGGCGGTGTTGGTGCCCCGGATGGGTGTGAAGTCCAGCAGGTACATATGGTGAGTTTTTGGGGGCTCCGGGTCGGGGCGTGGTGGGGCAAGCTGGAGATGTGTGCTGATTGGGGTGTGTGTGCTAGATGTCGAGACATGGGGAGAGGTATCCGACTGTTAAGGCTGGTGCGAGTATGTTCTTTTTCTTTCGTTTCGTTCGGGTCTTTCCGTGTGGTGTAGAGTCACGAGGCTGATATACGACTTCAGGGATGCTCGATATGCTCGAGCGGATAAAAGCAAACGGCACCACGTTGAAAGGCGACCTCGCTTTCGTAAACGACTGGCAGTTCCTCACCACAGACCCTCAGCGCCACTTCGAGCAGCTCACGACCACGGGCCCCTACGCCGGCACGCTGGGCTCCTTCACAACGGGCACAAAACTGCGGACACGATACCAGCACCTGCTGCCGCAGCGCCTTAGCTCCAGCACCAGCACAACTAATAAGACTTCCTTCTGGGCAGGCGACTGCTCCCGCGTCATCGAAACAGCGCGCTACTTCGCGGCCGGCTTCTTCGGCCTCAATTGGCAGGACACAGCAACGCTGCACGTGATCCCCGAGACGCTAGAGCGGGGCGGCGACACGCTCACACCCGGAGACTCATGCCTCGCGTACCTCGAAGACAAGGAGTTCGGGCACGACTACGGGGCGCGCATGCTCGCCGCCTACCGCGCGACGTATCTGAGCGCCGTGCGCGCGCGGTTCGCGGCGCAGAACCCGGAGGTGGGCGTCGAGCGCTGGTCCGACAACGACTTGTATGCCATGCAGGAGCTGTGCGGGTTCGAGACGACGGTGCGCGGCGCCAGCGCTTGGTGCGATGTGTTTTCGAAGGATGAGTGGCGCAGCTTCGAGTACGCGAGGGATCTGATTCATTATTATCGCGCTGGGCCCGGGAATAGGTTCGGTGCGCTGATGGGGTGGCTGTGGCTGGATGCTATGACGGGGCTGCTGGTCCAGGGGCCGGCGGCTGGTCCGTTCTTCTTCAGCTTGTGAGTGCTTCTCTTCCTTGTGTTATGTTGTGTTGTGCGTGCAGGTTGACTAACGGCGTGTTATTACAGTGTCCACGACGGTGACATCGTCCCCATGCTCGCAGCGCTCGACCTCTTCCCCTCCAAGCACGACCTCCCCATCACGCACCGTGCGGACGCCCGCGCCTGGAAGACGTCGCAGGTGACGCCGATGGGCGGGCGCGTCATCTTCGAGCGGGTGGCCTGCAACGCGTCTTCCGCCGAGGAGGACATCTTCATCCGGATCAACATCAACGACGGCGTCGTCGCTATTCCGGGCTGTGATAGCGGCCCGGGACGCAGCTGCCCGCTTGCGGACTGGGTCAAGCGTGTGCGGGAACGGGGAGCGGAGCTGGGTGATTTTAGGGAGAAGTGTGGGCTGAGCGAGGAGTTTCCGGCGAGGATCTCGTTTCTGCATCAGTGAGGTAGGGTTGCTGCTGGGATGGTTGGGGGTGGGGTTTTAGTTGCTTGGTTGTGTCTTGATCTTGATGATGCGATTAGAGATATAGAGGTAGAGTGCGATCTTATGGCATGGTTTGTATTTTGTGCGTTCTGTGGGCTGTTTTGAGCCAGCTGCTGTGTTTAGGCATTAAGTGGACGCACTAAGGTCGGAGGGGAGATGGTGGTATATCCTACATAACCCTCGTGAGCAACTAGTCCAGCTGCGAGTGCAGCCCTTTCATCTACCTACGGAGTGAGCTGTTGGGAGCGCTGAGAGGGCACTGCTGCCCTTCATACGTCATATCGTGAACCATGAGCGTAGCTTCAGGTCTAGCTATGGAGTGAGCTGTAGGGAGCATTTGAAAGGTATCGCTACCCCTTGTGAATGCAGTTGCTGACTACGAGTAGAACCTCGGGGTCTGTTTTCGGAGTAATCTGTAGGGGGCGGTTTGAAGGCACTGTATATGTACCTGCATGCTCTTCTAAGTGGGTTAAATCATAATCGTATCTACCTACCCCTCCGAGTTTCGCTTCGTGGTTCAGCAGATTTCGACTGGAATGCTGATGCTATACCGGTTTACGTGTGTTCACGGCTATCTTAAGATCCTACAACGCTACATACTTCTACAAAACAATCCCTTCGTTGTTGAAAGTCTCGCACATAGAAGCTCTCAATAAGGCTTCATCTCTCCAGGCCGGCACATACAGTGGCAGTTCGGCAGCGGGCGCGGAAGAAAATGGGAAGGCAGTAAAGAGAAGAGGAGCTCACTTGACAGCCGCAGGAAAACATGACAAGGCTATAGCCATCGATCGCGCTAACGGACAAGTGTGTCTACGAGCGGCTAGTGTAGGCAGACTGAGGATCTTCGTCCTTACAAAGGTCACCTTGTTCGTCTTTACCGGCTTTGCCAAAAGATGGAAGCTTGCAACGGCATTATTATTTGAAAGTATCGCACGATATTATTACCTAGGAATAATACAACCCATTATTATATTACGCTATTCATCTCCATCAGCCTTGCTAAACGATGAGGGTTTGTGAATAGCATTATTATTTAAAAGTATCGAACGATATTATTATCTAGATATAACATAAATCATTATTATATCACCCTATTCGTCTCTACCAGCCTTACTTTGTATATAGATGCAGAGTTTACTTTCGTAGCTAACTAAGACCGCTCTATGGGCGAAGACGTTACTATTGCGCTCGTCCATAATATCGTAGTGAAGTTCGATCATGATTCCGTTCGCGAGCTCTATCATGTAGTGATTCGTAGGGAGCGGACTTATCTATTTATAGGAGTATGTATATAGGCATGACTGTAGTATGCGAACGCAAGTTCTAGGTGTTTATAAAAAGTAATCTGTAGGGAGCATCCTGGTTTACTTACAGAAGTATACAAGCGTAGCCGCACTATCGCTAATACCTGAATATAAAGCGATCTTACACGCTTTGGCTTCTACGGAGTAAGTACTGCTTACTATATTGATAATAGCAATAGCTTCCCTCCGACCATAGTAGACTGGTTGGACCAAACTCCACCGTACCACCTTTTATAATTCCCGGTTCGCATACTATGAAGGTATTCAAATACTTCCCAGAGCATAACGGCTACGTCTCTCTGAGTAAGTTTTTGTGTAACCACAGATTTATGTTTCACCATTCAAGTGGAGTGGTGACTCCGACACAGAAAAGGACAAGCGCAAACACAACCGCAAAATCACGCACCAGCGCCCCCTTGCAACACCCACACAACACGCATAGCATCCGCGAGCACCTTTGAATCCATACCACAGCGCTCTCAAAGGCATTACAGAATTCTTTTAATTACGCGGGGTATATATTGTAAATGCACGAAATTTAAACCATCACCTTCAAAAAAAAGCTGCGTGGCGCAGCGGAAGCGCGCCGGGCTCATAACCCGGAGGACAATGGATCGAAACCATTCGCAGCTAGAAGATGATTTCTTTTTTGCATTTTTGCGCTTTCTTTGCAGCTTTGTTTTTCGGGTTTTTCTTTTTTTCGGCGCCGTGCGGTCTCGGCTGTGTGGGTGAGTGAGGGCCGAGAATGTGCCGACGAGGAGGGGCTGCCTTTATGCAGATTGCAGACTGCAGTTGGTGCGTGGAAGGATGTCGGGCTGGTTGCTTGCTCCCGCTGCTCTTCTTTCTGGTCTTGAGTGAGAGATTCTTCGTTCTGTGGTTGAGGCTTCATGGGTTCGACAGTGTCAGGCTGGTGTGATCCGTTCTTTTGGTCTCTGTGTCCGGGCTGTCTGTCTTGCCCAACGCCAGGTAAACGAGTCTACAACTTTCTCACACATGTATGTATGTCTTACCAACAAGATTGGGATCCTTGTGGCGGCAAAAAACAATGCCTTTGTTTTTGCTTTTCAACCCGGAGCCGGATATATCCCATCTTGCTTCCTCCCCAGCATAGGTACTCCGGCCACATAACGGCATCAAATTCAGCGGAGGACTCTCGACTGTAGAGTTACAGTAGATGCCATGCCCAAGCGGACAAAAAACATATTAGTCTCTATCGACCTTTCGCCAGTATCACTAAAACACCCCTCACACCCCCCATCACAAAACGGATACCTCCCACCAGCCGCAAACGCATCACCACGCCCACAACCCAGCAGCACCCCTCCCGCGCCTACTCTACGTGGTACAGCGCCCATAAACCGCATCCGTGCCCCCAAAAACACTCACTGCCTCCGCCATTGTGAAAAAGCCAACACTTCCGCCTCCATCTCCGCAAGACCCTCCGCCAACCTCATCGGCCCGACCCGCCCACCAATCTTGTACCGCACCGGCCCGTGCGCCACAGTCTGGCCCAGCTGCCCCTGAACCCGCCAAAAAAGAACAATTTCAGTCGAAACTGAGAATTACACACTGAGCCAAACTGCCTCCAGTCGGAGTCGAACCGACGGCCTCGACATTACTAGTGTCGCGCTCTACCACTGAGCTATAGAGGCCTAGTTAGCTAGATAGTTGAATAGAAATTCATTTTGAAAGTTTATAAATGTTGAAAAATAAATTGGAGATTTTTTTTGTTCGTGTTTTTGGGGTTTGGTTAGTGGCCTGTGTACGCTTTCTGGGGCTTTATGGCGGCTGTTCTGCTGGGCTTCTGGACCTACGGAATGCTCTTTAAGTAATAGGAGCGCACCGGGTTCTTTCTATGTAGATATGTATATATGGGTACGCAGTGAAAAGGAAGTCGGACTGCAGTTGGAAATTTAATTTTTCACCCTTTTAGATAACCTGATTAGCTCTTTTTCTGGGAATTTGTGGTGGTCGGTCTACTATAGGAACTGAGTGCTCTGTAGGTAGTTGTAAGTGCGTTGAGATTTTATATGTAAGTGTATGTACATGTGTGCGAAGAGCTACTTTGGATAATGTAATTAGTACTTTTTCTAGGACTTTTCGATAATCGGTCTGCTGTGGTTATAAAGTACTCCTTGTAGAGCTATCGCTGCGTTAAGTCTATGTACGTAAGTGTACATCTGTGTGTATAAGTATAAAATAATATGATCGTGCTGAAGTTGTAAAATTATTTTGTTCGCCTTTGCGAATTGCCTAACCGACCCTCTACTATACCTATGAAGTAATCTTTAGGTGGCTATGGCCCGTTTAGAGCTTTTTATATAAGTATATACTTATATGTACGGATATAAAATGATGTATATATTCGTGGCCTATCTAGCTAGCTCCGTATCCGCGTGCTATTATAATATAGTCGAAACCGATTATATAAAGATCTAAAAGTAAGGAGACACCTTAGAACAAATAGATACGTATATATTTATAAAGATAAAACGACTTAACCCCACTGGAGTATACTCTAAGCATATGAAAATACGTTACTAGAACGACCTAAAGGCTAAAAGGCCTCCATAAAAATATAAATACCTAATAGTAATATAGCGTTACTTAAGCGAATAAACCTAAATTTAAATATATAAAATAAAAAACTATAAGGATATGCAAAGCAGCTATATACCTATACAGACGAAATATTTTGTCATTAAGCGTGTCAGAGCGAGCGGGCTCAAGGCGACATCCGCCGGGCAACGAACATCAACCCCAGTCTCTCGCTCGTAGCTAGTCGCCCTTCGTGCATCCTCTTTGCAGCAAATATACTTCGTTGCGAACGCCCCTGTTTCTATGCTCTTACGGGGCGATTCCTATAACGTTCAAGAGAGAACACCAGCCTGGTATCAAAGCAAAGCTTTGTTTCCAGATAACCAACGACATGAAACTGTTGGTACAGCTACCACCTTAACATGCTTATGCTTCTTTTGATACTCCCAAGAAACAGGACTAAGAAACAGGACTAAGAAATAGGAATAGAAATAAGAACATTTGTACAACCAGAGAACAGCGCCCAGCCTTTCAGAAAATCGAAAATAGACTTCGTAGTACAGAGACATACAGGTATAATAATCTTTCGTTCTTTCCATCCACGCAGCCCCAGCGCCAATGCCAGTGCCAAGTCATTGCCCTTGCCATCGCCAACCCCGGTCTTATGCAAGCTCACGGCGCCTCCTCCCCGCTCTTGTCATTCTTCCCCTCCCTTTCCACCCCCAGCCCCGCCACCACCACGACGCCTCACAGCCTCGTCAAATAAAAGAAAAACAGCCCCGCATGGCGATACATTTTGGCGCTCATGATGCCCAGCACCACGTTGTCCGTCACCTTGCGGAAGTGGTTCACGACGGGGTGGTTGTCGCACACCATGGCCGCCGACACGACGCCCCGGTACTTGGCCTCGATGACCTGCTTACTCAGTGTTACCGCGCGCGCCCGAGTGCCTGCCACGCCCTTTCTGTTTCCCTCGTCCGGCTCGCCCTTCAGCCCTCAGCCAGCCAGCCAGCCAGCCAGCATGCTCTTCTGCGACGACGAGATGGCGACGATGACCGCGTGCGAGAGAGAGGGCGAGACGGGGAGAAAGAGAATAAGAAAGCCGTGCTCGGTCCATGTACAGTGGCTTTGGAGTTGGAAGGTGCAAGGAGCGGCCAGAAGCCAGAACGGCATGTATGTATGGGCCCAAAAAGACAGGAGGCAAAGCACACTCACCTCGGCGTTCCCCCACTCGTCGAGCCACTTCCGCCGATGTCCCTTGCCGGGCCCGTCGCGCGTCTGCGCCGCCACCACGATCGGCTCCACGTCGTCGACGCTGCGGAACGTTATCCCCACCCAGTTTATCGAGCGCAGCCAGCCGTGCGCCGGGTGCCGCGTGTTGAAGCTGCCGGCCGACCACTCGCCCAGCAGTTCCATCGGGTTGAGTGCTGGTAGGCTGTCGACCAGGTCCAGCAGCTCAGTGGGCGAGACTATCTCCTCTGGGTTGAGCACGTTGGACGATATAAGCTCTATGGTGCGAGACTCGGGGCTCTTCTGGTCCGTCGGCCTGTGTGTTGGGACATGGCTTTAGCGCTGTCTTTCTTGATATGTTTGCTTGCATGGCGCGATCGGATTCTTCAAGAGAGAGAGAGGAACGCATAGGGCACTGGAGGATATGATTCCTTACGAAGTCAGTACTTCCGCTGACATAGTAGTCCTGGACAGCTGCATTTGCCGCTATGAACCGAGCTGAGCCGCAGAAGTCAGGGCTGGCTGGCAGCGGCTGTTTGGCACGTGTGCATCAAGAGCGAAAGGCGATCAGTATTAGGTAGGAGATCCGGAGAAAGTCACCGCGTCGGTCGCTGGAGGCTGTTGCTACTGCGACGCAGTATTTAGTGGGGATGTAAAGAGCTCCAGGGATTCGGCATGCTACGAGCTCGCCTAATCCGGGTATGCATTACCCAGAAGGTGGTACGAGTCATGATCCGATCACCGGCAACCCGTCGGCCGCCCATGCTTAATGCAGCTCATCCCCATAACTTTCCCCGGCTCCTTCTGACTGCGTAAACGGAAACATGGACCGCCAGTCCAGTGTCGATGGCGTCGTGTCTTGTCCAAAGTCTAAAAAGGGCTCAAAAAGCCGGTCCATTTGGAATAACTCGTCCATCGAGCCCTCGAGGCCCGGCGCGGCACTACCAAAGGTCGGCATCGTGTCCCCGGTAGGAACCGAGACCGGCGGGATTGCTTCCTCGGGCCTCTCGGAGCTGAACCGTGACAGATCAACCTTCCACGCCCGGGCGAGATTTCTTACGGCAAGAATGGGCCGCGTGCTCCAGCTGCACGTGGATTCCATGTCTTCCAAGCATTGATACAAGCACTTCAAGCCCTGCATTGCCTTGCCTTGAATATCCGTGTCACTCGACGTAGCTGCTGCGAGGAAACAAATTGCGGCGGTGAATGCACAGTGCACGGCGGTGATGGGGATTGTGCGCTGGTAGAAAAAAGCGTAAGGGTGAAAGTTAAAGCAATTATTAACGGGGCACTTACAAGACCGTAATGTCCTTTGTAGCAACGGAAAATGGTGGAGATCCAGCCAGCCGATGTTTGACAAACAGAAGTGTGGATGCTGGTGTTGTCCAATCCATCAATGGTGCCGTCCGCCGCTCGGAGAGACTTCAAAAACGGCCTATGTAGCAAAATCATAATGGTATGATACTCCAAGCTTTAACAGAATTAGTTTACATCACTAAGAAGTCCAAGGATACTTACTGCAACTGGTAAACGTGTGGCGGAGAAACATCTTGAGAAGACCTGGATATTTTCAAGTAGCTCGGCAAGCCTTGGTAGAAATTCATTAGCCGCACTTGGGTACTTGAGACAAGATCGCTCAGGCCATCCTTTGTCAATGGCGAATATCTGCAACATCAGCAAAATTCCTTCTGTTTCTCTGTGAAAACTTACATGGTGGCCAGAACTTCGGCTACCATTATGAACAATCTACAAGTGTAGATGGAGTTGCTCACGATATGCGAGACTGGGGATGTAGCCCTTGCATGGCCGACTATACGTGATTCGGGACAAGGAAGATACTCTTCTTCACAATCCGTCGAAGGCATCTTTGTGGTCACATCACGATCTCGTATCATAGAAGGTCTGCCCAGCCCAATGTACCACAGCCTGCTCATCATCAGTGACCATACGTGTTTGCGGAGGGAATAAAAATACTTGTCTGTAATGTAACAACCCCACCACGTTATGCAGCGAACCTCGGCCTCCTCTGCATTCATGGTACCATCTTTGACACAGTGGAAGCAGTCCAGATGAAGGCCGAGGCTAATAGCCATCCTGACTGCTATGCCACAATACATCCAGCCGACAGCCTCCCTATCGGCTCCCGCCTCCCGTAGGCTGAGAAGAGCGGTAGCCTGAACGGTGGATGTGGTAGGGGCTTCGCACTCATGGATCAGCATGAACTTGGCCTGCGCAGCAAATGTATCCCCTGCAGTTTGGGGATCATGGGGATCCGCCCTCAGCTCAGGAAGATCAGAATAACGCGAAGCAACCGCATAGATAGCACATAGGAGGGATGGAGAAAAGAATTTGCCTGATGGGGAGTTGGGATTGGCGGCAAGGTCGCGGAGGAATAGGCCTTGGGGAACAATGCGCTGCCAAGAGTTCTGCCAGGTCCAGAAGAGGTCGAGGAGATGATCCCGGAGCTCGGGAGAGACGCTGGCAAGGCCGATTGGCTCGTTGGCGGCATGGTGCTGATAAGCCTGTCGCTGCATCTCCTGCGAAGATGGTTTGTGTCTGTGTCCCACGACACCGCTGCGGAGTAAGTTGAGGTTGCTGCAGGAGCCAAAGTAACAGATGGTGCCGCCATCTCCAATGTTGAAGCTGCCAAAAGTATCGGTGATGACGTCTACATCGATGTCGGAGACACGTGCCATGGGCGTGCTGCTGGACGTGCCCTGGACGACATGGCTCGGATCAGAGGTTGGAGCATTGCGCAAGGCGGCGAGCTCTTCTTCTAGAACCTTGACGCGGGCTTCCAGAGCGCGGACATAATTCTTGCTTGGCGGCTTGCGGTTATGCTCGGCTGCCGGGTATTCACAGGGCTGGTCACGCTGCCGACAGGCGGAGCATTGGATTGGATTGCCGTCACACTGCGTTTGGGCGCTCAGCCATCGGCACGGAGCCGCACAACGCGACAGAGGGAAGCTTACCTTTGTACGCTTGACGCGGCATCCCTGGCATGCGGCTGAGACACGTTGGCGAGGCTTTTTGTTGTTCATGACGAATCAGTGCAACTAATACGAACCGGTGGATGCGGCTGTCGTTTAAATCAGTCGAGTGTTGGACTGCTCTAACCCCATGTGGCTTAGTCACTGAGCCGCCCTATCGAATTAGGAATCTTCATCACCAAACCACGATTCAATCGAATCTGATAAGATGTATATAGTAGGGCAGGCTTGTTCACAGATATTCTACCATCGGAATGGTCCGTGGAACTCTGCTCCACGGAACTGTGTACGCGTACTATTATCCAAAGAACAATGACCACTGATTGCTAAGCAGGCGGGTCTATCTCCCAGTCCGGCAGGGCTTCCGCGTAGCATCTACGATATTGTCCACTAGTCAAGGCCTCCATTATATCTCCAGCAAGCCAACATTTCCTTTTTCAGTAATAATTTTAAAGTCCGATCAACCTAGTATGCAGTTCTCCTGTCTTTCTCCGGCCACCCTTACAAATGCAAACAACATGCTATGCAAATACCTTATATATACACCATCCTTAAAACCCTCTTAGCCCAATCTTCTCCCAGTCCAACACAACCAACCACCCCACTTCCCACCCCACCATGACTACCACCCACGGCGCTCTCCTGGTCATCGGCTCTGGCCCCGGCATCGGCATACATACCGCGTCACTTTTCGCCGCCCGCGGCTTCTCCCACATCCTACTCGTCTCGCGCAGCGCCAGCCGTCTCCAAACCGACGCCGAAGCCGTACGAGCCGCCGCGCCCAATGCCATTATCGACACCATCGCCGCTGATGTCTCCTCCGCCTCGTCTCTGAACGCCGCCCTTGCAGAAGCCGAGTCCAAGCTCGCGCAGAGCAGAATCCCGCTCGAGACTGTGTTTTTCAACGCCGCACGCGTGGGCGAGAGCAAAGTGCTAGAGTTCCCAGTCGAGACGCTCGAGGAGGACTTTCGGGTACGCAACCAATGCCATCGTCCCGCGATTCCCCTGTCGTCCACGCACCTGCTAACCCACGCTCTTCTAGATCGCCGTCTCAGCGCTCTACATCACCGCGCAGTGGGCATTGCCGCGCCTCCTCGCCTTCCGCAGCTCCCAAGCCCATCCGCACGCATCCCAGCACCCCTCTTTCCTCGTCACAGGCGGGTTCCTGCACCGCGACCCGTACCCGCCGCTCTTCTCGCTGTCGGCCGTCAAGGCCGCGCAGCACAACCTCGTCGGCACGCTGTACAAGACGCACGCGCGCGCCGGCGTGCACTGCGCCATGCTGCTGGTGGGCGGCTTCGTGGGCCCGGATGCCCGCGTCTGCAATCCCGCCAATATTGCTGAGAAGGCTTGGGAGCTGTATGCGCAGGAGCCGGAGGCGTGGGAGAAGGAGGTTGAGATCGTGGAGCCGGATTGGGAGGAGAGGACTAGGTGGGAGGGTTGAGCGTTGGGGTGGTATGCTTGAAGGAATTAAGACTGGGGGAACTAGGCTGTTCTATGTAGAGAAGCATGCTAGTCCAGAAATCGCAGCGATGAGAGAAAGAGAATAACTCGGAGATGGGCTGGCAATATTCTGCACAGCAGACAGGCACAACCAGGTCTAAAAATAAAGACGAAAAGAAACAAGACCTACTCTCTACGCTGGACCTACTGTGACTTTTGCATTCTCACTTATAAGATCTAATCTTGGGCGTTTAAGACGGCAGTTTTCACCTCACCGCGACTGCAGGCGTATTGTTCTTAGCTAACTCTCTTGTGGCTATGTGACCCCCGAGACACGGAGCCCGTTGCGCCTGCCCCCTATTTCGCACTGGTTAGCCTTGACAAACTTGGCAACATTAATCTCACTGTTCTTGAAAAGACTTCAGATGCCTGATTGGTGATTGTGCGGCATCGCGTGTTGGCCAGGTCGCGGGGTTGTGGAAGCTTTGGCGCGACAGGGATTCGCGCCATCGCGGGCACGCGAATCGGTGAGATCATCTTTACCTACGGAGCTCTGGATCGCACCTCCGCACCACCACACCAACCCCAAAAACGACCAACATGGCCAAAGAAAAGTCCATCAACCCCGCCGCCGCCCAACACAAGGCCGACAAGGCCCGCGCCCTCAAAAAGTCCAAAGCCGCCGTCGCGTCGCAGCGCAACGAGCGGCTCGCCAAGCGCAACCCGGAACGCCTGCAGCGGCAGATCGACGACCTCAAGGAAGCCGAACAGGCAGGCTCGCTACGGCCCCGCGACCGCGAAACCCTCAACCAGCTTGAAAAGGACGTGCGCGCCATCCGCAAGGCGCGCGAGGAGCTAGGCGACCGGGCGCCGCAGTTTGGCGGCTATGGCGGCGGGAGGGAGCGCGGCGAGGGCGGCCGTGGCGGCCGTGGTGGCGGCAGGGGCAGAGGCGGAGGCATACTAGGCAAGAGGCGGCGAGACGGAGCAGCAGGCGACAACGACGAAGACGGCGAGAGCAGCGCATCCGACGACGAGGCGCGCCATATCCCCATGCCGCGCGACACGCCGCCGCCCATTCCGCGCAAACAACACCATCGCGGCGCCGCCGTACAAGCGGAGGCTTCCGATGCGCCAAAGGGCCCGCACCCGCTGCCGTCTAAGCCCGCGCCCGCTGTCCCCGTCCAGACTGTCTACGAGTCCGCGCCCGTCATCCGCGACCTGCGCAAGGAGGCTACATCACGCTTTGTGCCTGCGGCTGTGGCACGCAAGACGGCGGCGGCTAAGGGTCAACGGCCGGGCCAGCTGCTCGAGCCCGAGGAGCTGGATCGTCTAGAGAAGCAGGGTTATGGCGGCGAACAAAAGGAGCGCAATCAGCAATTGGTGCAGGACAGCCGGGCCGAAGCCGAAGAGGCGGTCGAGGCGGCAGTCGAGGAGGCCGAGTTCAAGATGATGAATGCCGAGGCACAGGCGGGGGACTTGGACGAAGAGGAAAAGCGGTTTGAGCGCGAATTGCGCAACGTGGAGATGGAGGAGGTGGAAGACGAGGAGTTTGGGCAGGGTGGATAATGAGGTGTGCCTACTTTCGTACATGCAGTCGGCCAAAAACAATACACGGATGTTGTAATTGCTTGCTTGCCGTAACTAGACAAAGTGACGGTGGATGCCGGGTGCCAAGTTTGACAAGTCGCCAGGCCCTGGCAACCGCGAGACGGAGGCTCGATCTGCACATCGCAGACGCCGACCTCATCATCGACTCGCCGTCATGCGCGCTCCAGAACGCCCCATGGCCCCGCTGCCCGGAAACAGCATGGCTGTTGAACCCTGATGACGCCCGCTAATTTGCAACGCCGCTCCCTTGAGTGCGAGTACGAGACCTGCGTTGGCATCGCATCGCATCCTTAATGCCGTCTCTCTATTGATAAAGTAGTGGTGCTTCTTGTCTCAGTCTCCAAAGTCAGACATTTCATATCCATATCCATCTATCTGTACGCGCACACCTGCATCACTCAACGGCCGGCCCCCCGCAGAAAGATAGGCACCCTGTCCCGACCTGTCCTGCCCTGCCCTGCTCCGTCGCCATGTCGTCCCGCCCGCCGCGCATCCTCATCTACCTGCTGCGGCGCGACCTGCGATTGGCCGACAACCCGGTGCTGCACGCGCTGACGACGCAGCAGGCCGGCGCTGCGCCCTTCACCCACGTGCTGCCCGTCTACGTCGTCTCGGCGGAGCAGGTCGAGGTGGCCGGCTTCCTGCGCCCCGGCGCAAAGAGCCCGTACCCGGAGGCGCGCAGCCTCGTCGCGGGCTTCTGGCGCTGCGGCCATCATCGCGCAAAGTTCTTGGCCGAGAGCTTGTGGGACTTGAAGACTGCGCTGGCGAAGGCGGGCAGTGGCCTCGAGATTAGGATTGGCATGCTGGCGGACGTCGTAGGCGATATGCTGGCGTGGTATAATGGCGCGGAAGACGAGGACAAAGAGAGGGGATGCGTCGCGGGCGTGTGGATGACGGCCGACGAGGGCGTCGAGGAAACGAGAGAGGAGCGCGAGGTGCGGCGCGTGGCCGAGAAGAACAACGTCGCCTTCAAGCTCTGGGCGGACGAGAAATTCTTCGTCGACGAGTGAGTGGCGGCCGAGCACTGTTGAACTGAGCTGACATGCATTGCGCCGCAGCCGCGACCTCCCCTTCACAAACATCCAAGACCTCCCCGACGTATACACGACCTTCCGCAAGTCCGTCGAGCCGCTGCGCTCCCGCCCGCGCGCCGTCCTACCCACACCTTCCTCGCTCCC